CTCAGATACCTTTGTCATAGTAGATGCTCACGTCCACGTCCCAGTCATCCGCAGTCTGCTCATCAAAGTCTGCCAAGAGAAGGAGAGCACCGGTTTTGGTGATGGTTGTGGAAGTCTGACACGGAAGAGCTCTTTGCTGGTGGCCCAGCTCCCTATTTTCTCCAAGAAAACGGGTAGGAAACGGCATTAGAGACTCCGCAAACCACAGCGCTTGCACAACAGGCTGCCAGTAGGACCGCTGGGGTCTCTGGCGACTGGACTGAACCACTGCAGGTTTTGCGATCGAGGGAAGGCTTAAAAAGCGATGGCAAGATGCCCGTATGTGTAGCTGACCTGGCGTGCTCGTATGGGGTTATACTTGATTCACCTGCAGGGCTGGGCCCCCCACCTCGTGGTGGTTAGTTTGTGGCTCAGCAACACAAACACCAACGTTACCTCCATTCTTCTCCTGCCAGTACTGAGCATCCGTGTAGAAGACAAGGCCAGAGCCGCCTTTCTCCCACTTCAGCTCAATCTCCTCTTCAAAGAGCCGCTCCTCCACACGGTCCTGCTTGGTCACGTCCTCGTGCAGAGCCTCGTGTCGCTCCCACTCCTCACAGGTATCATCGTCCTGCAAAGGAGCCGGTGAAAGGGGGGGGCGACACCGACGGCGCGCAGCCCCCTCCCTGTTCCCCCGACCCTCGCGGCTCGTCGCAACGCCTTCCCTCCGAAACAGCTTTGTCAACAGAGCTCGTCTCAGCCTGCTGTTTTCAGGCACTAACACGACCGGCACCGATGACCTCATTCCCCTGACTAATGCCATCTTCAGAGTCAGCAGACAGAAGTGGTGAAAAATACCACATCACACCCACTTCACGGCATGCTTTCAGCGGCGTACCCAATCTGCAAGGCAAAGATGCCCATTTAAGGAGCAGGTGTGCTGCACGTAAAGTCAGCACTAGCAGCAAATTAATTCCGCTCAAGCTGATCCCTAAAGAGATTGCGTCGGTTCCAGCGGAGCAGCTCGCTGGCACAGACGCGGGTCAGACTGACAGCTTTACTGCCGCCTGCCCAGTTCTGGGCAGAGCCCTCCACGGAAGACATTAAGCAACTGAGGAACAGCCAAAAAAATGACTAGAGATCCAGGAAACAGAGCGTGTGAGAAACGGCTAGAGGAGTCTGTTTAGTCTGGAGAAGAAAAGACCGAATAAAAAGTTTGTAAAGGAGGGAACAAAGCGTTCTCTGTGTCCGCTGTTGCTGGGAGAACCTAATGGGATAAAACTGCAGCAAAAATTTGCCATCTAAGTTAATTCTGGTAGAGCAAGGAACGGGAATGGCTTGCCTCGGGATCGTGCTGCCTCTGTAATGACAGAGGTTAGCGAGAACCGGCTAGACAGGCGTCTGTCAGGGGGAGGGAGCGAGAGAGTCTCCGGAGAGCCCGTCCAGCTCAGTTTTCTAGGAGTCTTTGTCACGAAAGCCATTTTTCTCAGAATGACTGACTTCAATCACAGAGGCATTCAAAGTCAACCATTTGTACAGCTCCATGTGTCGTTTCCAGCACACAAACGCGTTCCCGACTCGCCGGTCACCTCATTGACGAGCAACAGCAGAGCCGGGCCAATCCGCCACGCAGCAGGGCAGGGATCTGCTCCCGCAGCACCAGCCTCCGCCTGCGCTCGCTCCTCTGGACCAAACCCTTTGGGCTCAACCCCTACAACCGGCTTGATTGGGACAAGCCGTTTCGGAGGCGTTAATGCCCGCACCGCTCACGCGCCACGGGGCTCAGTGCACCAAGACGCGAACAACCGTATTTTAACGCCATTTTTAGACGAGTGATTGATACAATACAATTAAAAGATTAAAAATGAGCTCCGGGAGAGTTATAGCCGCCCTCCCAGCTTTGCAGCTACAATAGCTAACCTTGGACGGCGCTAGAAAAATCCACTTACGTCATCCGAGCGCGACTCCTCTTCCTCCTTCTCCTGCCCCTCCTCATCTTCCTCAGCACTGGCCGGGTGAGTCACCTCAGACCTTGCCACAGGCCCCTCTTCCTCTGTGATCTCATCCCCCGTAGCAGTGTAAACTCTTTCTTCTTCTATAACTGCCTCAGCGTCCTGGTATTCAAAAGGCACGTTCCCGTACCTGCGGGACGAGCCCGTCTTTGGGAAATCCAGCTGCAATTTCTTGATAATCCGGGGAGGCAGCCTGCAGGCCCGGATCAGCTCCAGAAAAACTTTCAGGGGGGTGCCCACGTTCCCATAAGGCATGAAGGAAGGGGGGTTGAACTCGGGCAGCCGCTTCAAGTCTGCTTCCACGACAGATTCACCCGCGGCCGTCTTGTCCCCGCCGCAGGGAAACGTCTCCGTGCCTGGAGAAGAGAAGGAATGGTTTTGTGGGGGAACACGCGCTCCAGCAGAGAGGGGTAAATCAGGGGAGGGACGGGCAGACCCCAAACTGACTCCTCTTGCCTCATAATGGATTTAAGGCATTAAGGAAACTCCCTGAGGGGTTTCAACCACCCGGTACCCTCAGGTTGCCTGCCGGGACCCGCAGAGGTGGGATCCGGTGCCCAACGGGTCCTCCGGACCCCTCCAGGCCCATGAGGGGAGGCC